AATAGGTGATTTTCAGTACAATTGCGAGATCTCGCGAGATGCATGAAAGACGCGCGTCGAACGTCTGCCGCAAAAATCGAACGATTTGATTTTGAACTCGAATTTCCTTATTTCGTAGCTCACACCGACCGGCCGATCTTCGACAGAGGAATATTGCTTCCAAATACCCTTACTTAATCGAAATTGTCTATCATCAAATGCGGACAGCACATTATTAAGCATGAAAATGTCCCCAAAATACTTTCGCGTTTGTCGAATCCCACGCGATGTTTGACGCCACTACGACGCTATGACATTTGTTTGTCCTGTTTTTACGTTCGATTTCACGCATAACGCGTGATTCTCGCAGTGTACGGAAAATGGTCTATTCAGTGGCGCCACCAACCGTTACACATCATAGATTCAGATGTAAGCACTCAACATGTTTGAAAATGTACAACTTATACAGTACAATGATCACATAGCCCCCCCCCCCAAAAAATGCAAGCATATTTTGTTGTACATGTACCCTTGCAATAACCTTCATTTTTTATCCATATTCTCAATCGAATTACTCAGTTTAGAAAGCCCAGAACTGAGCAAACTTATGACAAATATAGAAACATTTTGGCTATGAACTTCATTTAAAAAAAAAAACTTTCGCCATCTTGGAAATAACACAAAGTATTACTACATCTGGAATTTGCATTTCTTAATAAGGTAGATAGGCAGATACGCCTTGCAAAATCACAAATTTATGCCATACTGTAATGTATATAGAGATACAGATGTATAATATTAAATTTATTAAACTCCACAAAGTATGCACTCTGCAAAAACATTCACTGTACTGGCTTTTTTGTATACTCATAATAACATCAAATTGTTTGTTTACCTTTTCTAACTCTGCATCTTGTTTACTTTTCAAATCTCTGATTTGTTTCCTTTTCTTTTTTGCCATTCTATCTTTCAATGCATTAACCTGTACAGCTTGTCTCTTGTCCATTTTATCCAGAGCCACCCTCTCTGATTGTCTCTGTGCTGCTATCATTTCTTCTTTCTCATCTATTGTAATAACACCAGTGTTCTCCAATGATTCCTAGAAAAAAAAATATTGTCAACAATTTTGACATTCTGATTTTGTTACTTAGATTCGGACATGAGTAATTCGCTTAGCATTAACACTGAGTCCCACATTTACCTAAAAATAACAATATGGTTTTAATAACTATTTCAGTTAATGACTTACTATTGCATTAGCTAGGTTCTCAGAGAGTTTCTGTTGTTGTTCCTGTGTGCTTTCAGTTGTTTGTTTCGTCAGTGCTTTGGCCAGGGCGGTAGATTCCTCTGCATGCAGTGTGTCTATCACTGATTGGTGTAACTTTAGCTGATTATCACAGTCTCCTTTCTTCTCCTCTGGAGGTGGTATACCAGCTTCTTCAGCCTAATATTGAGAGATATATGATTATCAGGAATTGGGTTTATATATATATATTTTTTTTTTACAGAGATCAATATCTCTCAATGACACTATCCCAGCATTCATTTTATTAACACAACTTTCCCTGGAAGGGTTGAAAAGGGTTACAAATTAGATATAAGGGTGGGTGTGTAGGCAGCAGTTTCCTGCGAGAACATGTTTATCACCAATATGTATTACTATAGGGCAAATTACGGGAATATTTTTAATTTTCATTGTTTTGAATTAGAAATTATTTTTGCATGTTTTACTTTTTCCCCATCGAGTCCACTGTATGAATCATGTAATCCTTGTAAAAGTAATATCACGTTTATTTTAAAAATTTGGTTTAGCTCTGACACCATTTCTTAACCTAGTATAGCATAAAGCAATCTATTCACAAAAACTTTCATGTATATGTATTTCATTGAGCTTCCGTGGTACATATACCCAGGATATGGATTGAGCATTTTTGGGTGTTCAACTCAAGGCAGGAACCAAACTGTCACATACCAATCATGGGTACAGTGCAACAAGCACTATGTTACCAGTGATCCAGTGATTAATCACAGAAAGTTTCCAAATTCGAAACCAAGGCACTTCAAGCCAGTGCACATATGTTTACTATGATGACCTCACCTCTTTGACATGCTTCTCTCGAAGTGTTTTCTCTTTCTGTTTTCGGCGTTGTGCGAGTCTATCTCGCAGATCTTGTGTTTGTCTCTGCTTTTGTCCATCTAATCTGGCCAGCAGTGCAGCTAGTTCCTTTTCGTGATCGGACATTATTCGATCAACCTCAGATTGTGAAAGATCACCATCCAACTGAGATGCTAATTTGGATGACATCTTCTGCAGAACTTCTTGTCGTTTATTCTCCTGAAACATTTCCAACAAATATTAACCAACTTAGCTAGATAGATTGCAAATGTACATATCAGTAGTAGTAAATTGTTCTGGGTATGTTAATAAAAGGTTGCTTCGCATTTTTCATATAGAAAATTATTTACAAGTGGTAACCCACACTGATAGGAAAGGTGAGTCTAAAATTGAGGGATTATTGAATGTCATCATTTTCATTTTTGACCAATTTTGCAATTTTTTGTTGTTGATATTTTTCTACAAATTTCATTGTGAATTTTGGACTAAAATGGACAAAATGTAAATTTATTTTAATAATTTAAAAGTACAATTTTTTCAACCATAGTAAGTTTTATTGCAAAGCCACTTTCTCAGTATTTTATTTTCTAATGAAGCAAACTCTATGGAAGAAATCTATATACCCTAAGAGTTTGAAATGGGTCACTCCGGTTAAATT